AGTATATTAATATGTACAACTAAAATTACTAATAAAGATATGAGCAAGGCCTCACCTTAATACCAAAAAAAAAAAAAATAATAATTTTTTCATTAAACTCTCAATATGTTTAGATGATATATTCAAAATTTTATCTTTTTTGTATGAATCAACATGATCTTTAGTTTGTTCATGTTCTTTTACTGCATAAAGTTTAAGATTTGTAGAACTTAATTGTATATAAATATTTATTAATAATTTATACTAATGAATTTTTATACAGTTAACTTTCTTTATACGTAACGAACTGACCGTTTTTATGCTCTATAATGAATTTTTTTAAAAAGTTCATTATAAAATGTTCTTAATAGGAGAGTTGTCTGTAAATAGAATAATTTACATTTACCACTTGTCACAAATGCATTTGCTTTATTACAAGTGCGACATAAGGTACAAAATATTCGATTACTTGAAGTATCATATTCAAGCCATGGATAACTATCTTTCCAACTTTGCTGAAACTTTCTATTAACGATTGACATGTTAAGATGTTATTTTCAAAATATTTTATTGACATTTAGCTTAATATTCACGTATACTTTTTAACCGCTACAAGTTTAAATTTAATGACTATAGAACAGTAACGAATTCTAAAATTATCATTCGTCTATATCTATTATAATGATAGATTCTAATTTGATGGATCAAAAACGACACTTCAAACAATTGGTATCGGCGCAGTAAATGGCCAGCATATTACTATAGTGTCTGAAGCCCTGGTTGACATACATCACTAGATTCACGTACTTTTTGGTTCAAATTTTATACACTGTATATGATTTTTATTGCATGATACCGGTGATGATAACTAGTATTAATGCGTAGTAATTTCTTAACAATTTCATTATATACAGAATTTACAAAATACGGAGAAAAAAATTTTTTATTAATTTGGTTGAGTTGCTATTACTACGTATATCTTCTGTTTTAAATTTACAAACTTTTTTTCAAACTTGAATAAATATCTACTAAATTACAATTTTTTATTTTATTGTTATGAATTTATGGAATTAAAATATAGCGATAGTACAATTTAAGAACCGCGTGCGGTAATACGGTAATGAGCGTCACTAATATAATGTTTCGATTGGTCAAAGGTCACATTGGTCTTTGATCGGTTGATCATATTGTAACAAAACACGTGGATGTTGTGTCAGTAACTTTCGTTTACAGAATTCCTGGGTTACCATCTGTTTGTTAGGTGTGTGAGAAATTTTTGTTTATTTTATGTAACGATACATAAATTTACCAGTATTAGAAGAGATGGTATACCAATAATAAAGTGCAAAGGGCGAAATAAATTGAAAATATTTTTGTTTCGAAGGATGATTATGAAAATAAAGATGTAAACGTAGTTTCTAATCGCATAGTATACATACTTGCATGCATGCGCATTTGTTTCTTTCATTCACTCTAATTTTTTAATTATGCAAAAGGATTATCAGATCCCCTTTTTTTTTATTTCATTTTTTGTGTAATATCGATATTCTCAGCATCACGTCTTCTTATCACTCGTTCAGGGTGAGTCATGTGATATATAATATATAATCAATCGTTTGTAATCAATCTTTTATTAATAATTCTTAATAATCGGTTCTTTTGATGACCTCCTCGGCGAGTCTCCAATTGAGATCTAAATGGATAAAATCCATTGGTTTTTTTTTCGTCAATGGATAATAAAATTGCAAACCCTGCACCTTATATAGGTACTATGTATGTACATTCATCAATACGTCATTTACGTCATTTGTAAATGACAATACATCATTGCTTATCAGCACATGAATTACAATGATATGATCATGTATTTAAAACAAGAGGAGAAAAAGAAAATAAAAAGATTGTAACAGTATCACCATATTAAAGGATAACGAGTAAGTAATTTTTAGTAAAAATCTTTTGGAAACGAATTACAAAGAGCTTTACTAATAAATAATTAAATCTTAGATTGGTCATTATATATCTATTTTCAGTGAAATTAATGGCGAAATAAATCTCATACATAGAATGAGATTAAAAAGAAAGTTTTTTATAAACTAATAATACTTGTGGGAGAACCTGCATGCTAGGGGTAGATGTTTTAGGTAATCCATGCGAGTAATTATTGAAAACAGAAACAAAAAAAAAAAATATAATAATAATCCTTGAGAATCGGTTGCAAAATTTTTTTTTACATAATTTCACGAAAATATGTATCAAAAAGTCATAACCATTATTTGCAAAGTGTTGAATTAAAATTTGTTTCATCTTTATACAGACACTCAATAAACATAAGCGCCAATTTCTTATGATCTAGTACCAGAAAGTTGACATTGAAAAAAAAATAGGAAACTAAAAGTAAAATAGGAGGATGCAGATAAAAAAAAAAAAATATAAAAAATAGTGGCGTGAATTAATTAATCTAATCAAATGTATTAATTGTATTAATCACATTAGTAAACAAGCCTATTGTTAACGTTAAGGATTGATACTATAATTGGATATTGACTAACGCTAATGGTGACAATTGTGTTTCAGTATACACTAATTATACTATGGTTTATATACTAGATAAGTTGGAAAGAGAAATCTTGAACCAATAATGTGTACAAGAAAAAAATTTCCATCCGGAGTTTCTCAAAGAATTATGAAGCGACCTTAACTTTTACGAAATAGGCATGGTTGAAGCACAAAAAAGTATTATATTGTCCAAAAATAATTATACGTGGTGCTAAAATTGGTAAGAATTCTCGAATCTATGATTCTTAACATCTTTAACATTGTTGCACTGAAATCTGGAATCAGATACCATTTTTTGATTAAAGAAATATTCAATAAATTTACAGTTTTAGAAAATCATCAATGAGCTTATCGAACAATTTAAGGATGAATAATCTTTTATTCTATAATAAGTGATGATACCATCTTCGAAGAAATGGATTAATAGACCACCACGTGGAAGCACAATCCGAATAAAGAAGCTGATGGACTTTTTCTGTAATTTTATTGGCTACGCTTTTCATGCAACACACATACGTATGTACAGTCGTCTTACTACACTAATACACTAATCTTGTCCCTCCAATTATATACTATTAGAGATTGCACTTGTATATCTGTATATGACAAATATAAGTGAAACTTGAAAATTGGTGTATGAGAAGATTTGTAAATATGTTTCTTGGTAAGATCAGCATGAATTATTAGTGGTCGATTAATACTCTGTTTGGATGCAAGCTAATTAATACAAGACGTAGATTATTAATTTTGCTAATTGTTTGCGCATACGCACTGTATAAAAAAATCAAAGGAGTAGATAGGGACTTAACTGTTAAGTATGTACTTACGTACGTACAGTACGAACGTAGATCAGGTATTTATTTATGCACCATCAATATCGCTATATACCGTCGCTACATAATAATAACTACAGTAATAATTCTAAATAATAAATCTGAACAAATAATAATTTTATAATAATGGAAGGAGCATGCTCATATGTTTCATATTTTCATATCTGATACTACAAAGTATCTTTGCACAAAGAAAAAAAAATAAGGCTGACAAAGAATTCACTTCCCCTTGTTAATCAACTGGATGCATATTTTCATATAGAAATATGAACAATCATTGTATTTCTCTTTCGGGAATGTTTGAAATAACAATTTTATTGAAAAAATGAAAAATGTTGTAATTCCAAAGACGCGAAATCCAACAATCGGTAATTGCCGCAGTAGAAATTCTTTAATTCATTTTTAGAAACTTCTTGAGAATCATAATAGATAAATAACAGGTTGTAACAGGTCTTACAAAAATTTACGTTAAAATTTTTAGGTTATATCAATTATTAAAATAATGATTGTCCAAAATAAGATGTAATACCATTTCCATTTGCGAGTAATCACAATATATATTTGGATTAAGAAATAATGATTTTATAATTCTATAAGTTCTTCCTTAAGTTTGAAAAGATTTTTTTTAAATCTAGAAAGAAATTATCGGAATTTGCACCCGATTTTTTAGATATCAAAGTTGGACAAGAACAAGAGTGATTGTTACATGCAGTTCAATTATGCCTAAAACAGAGCATTCAAATCCAATAAGCTTGTTCCAATATAAAGATCAGTTATTGCATATAAATGAACATGCGCTCCGTGCATTAAAAGAAGAAAAAAAAAAAACTCGGTATTCACCAATTCATATGTTTATATCATGTCTTTTGGAGTTCAAGAATTCTTAGATACCATTTGGGTCATTTTGTGAAATTGTTTTCATTCGCGGCACATCTATAAAATTCCAAATATTTACTAATCTATATTAATTGATCAGATCCAAGTCGTGTTGTAGTATATTTTAATAATAAATGTTTTATAATTATAATGCTTGATTTAATTGTATGCGTGTTCTTACCAAAAATTTATTAATATTTGTTACTGAAACATTTAAGTAATCATAGAATGTTACTCATATGTTAAGCTTATTCAATCGGTTATAAATTTGTAATTCATAAATTTTATAATACCTATTTAAAAAATAATTTAAGTTTATTTAAATTCACTCGCATTAATCACATTAAAAATATCATAAATAAACATCAATAATTCATTCAGGTAATTTATCAATAATTAAATAACAATAAATATTATTTTTTTTTTATAGTTTTTGTAATGATTTGCGAATAGTCACTTTTTTTTTTTGAACATCAGTTACGGGGGCAAAAGTTTATCCTTTTAATGTTTATTATTGGTACGTACGCACCTCAATTCCATTTATGTTGAAAAACATTACCATGCGAATAATCCCTTGCAGATTAACTCAATAAAGTTGTTTGACCAAATTTCGATCTGGTCTTTTTTTTTGATTTTTCTATTTAATATTTAAAAACAGGTTTCTCCACTTTTCCCCTTGCAATTTTTATCTCATTTCGGGTAATTCTTAATTTTTTAATTTGTTTTTTGTTTTTCTCCACTTTCAAATTTTCAATGGGAAATTGTAGTTGTCGCTCAAATACAAATAATAAACTTGAAAGTGGTGAAGAACATGATACGCAAGACATGTCCCCTACTGCTGAAAAACGAAGACTCTCTTCAAAGAAACCTGTATTACCTACATTACCCGGATTTAACGAAGATGAAAATTCACGATATCCTCTTTATGATAATGATGACATAATTTCGCATTCACAATTACAACATAATATACACAGATACATATGGCAAAATAATTTCAGTTCTCCTGTAGACGATTTATTAAGAAAAGGAAGTGCCAGAGTTTTGGAAATTGGTTGTGGTGATGGAATTTGGACCATTGATTTGGCAAAAGAATTTACTTGGAGTCTTTTCACTGGTGTTGATGCTCATCAAAAATTTGACCAAAGAGTCGAACAAACAAATGTCACTTTTTTGAAAGCTGACGTTTTGGATGGTTTACCTTTCGAGTCTAATTATTTTGATCTGGTCTTTATGAGATTCTTATCTTTTAGTGAAAGGCAATGGTTGGAAAAAGTCGCAAATGAAATAGTTAGAGTTTGCAAACCTGGTGGTTGGGTTGAAATAATGGACTGTACTAATCAATATGCTCCAAAAGGTTCTGCCACAAGCCAATTGGAGATAGTGTGTATGTATTTTCATTCATAATTGATTAATTTTCAAAAAAAAAAAATTTACAATTTTTATTATGTATTCAAATTAATTCAATAATTTATTATATAGATTACGAATATCTAAAATCTAAAAATCCCGATTTAATGCTAAATCCTCGATACGAAGATTACCTACGAAGTACAAACAAAATAACTGTGATAAAAAGAGAAGAAAAAAGAATCACTTTAGGAAAAGGTGGTGGAAAAATTGGTCCTCTTTTAGTACAGAATATCATTGCAACCTGGGAGCAATCAAAAAAGACACTGTCTGAACTCATGGGTGTCTCTGAGAAAGAATTTGATAATCTTATTCGAACATTTCAAAAAGAAACTAATGATTTAAAAACTTCTACAAGATATGTAAGAATATACGGTCAAAAAGTGATTGAATAATCTAATAATAGTAATAATATCCCTCATAATTTTTTAGTATATCTATTACCTAATTTTTGTACAAAGTCATTCTCATCGATATGAACGTTTCTAAAATTAATGAAAATGAAAATGAAAATAAAATTGTCATTACATCATGATTAATTATTTTATGCACGTACGTACGCATTCACATATTGTGTAAGTTATATTCAAATAGTGTAACATTATAAATTATATATGAATGTCTTTATATGTTGAAGATAGTGTCTAGAACCTCATAGAATATTTATCTTCATTCCTATAATTTATACTTATAATTTCTAGTTTGTTAATTATCAACTTGATCGGTAAAAAATACTCGTTCACGGGATTGCACGAAAAAATCTGTAAAATAAAATCTCTTCCTATTTACGACTACATAATGACCCAATTACTGAAATTGTTCATTCGTTGATCGATCCTTGGCTATGATCTAAGTTATTATTTCTAATTCTTACGTAATTAGTAAATCTGTGTTCATAGTCGCGGAAGTAAATGTAACTTTAAAATTTTTAAGTTTATTAAAGACCGTGTGAGTCAGTAAGTGATTTATTACAAAAAAATCAGAAACATTATAAAGCTTCTGACTTTTATTTAATAACTCTTAAATAAAAAATGGGTATTTAAACGATTAGGCGTGCTTCTCTTTAATAAAAAAAAATGATTTTTTTTTCTCATCTATGAATCAAATTTTCAAAATGGTAAAAAGGAATGATCGTCATGATATTCATTATAAGACATTCAGCACTTTTTGAAAATGTAATCGGCAAGTAAAACGATAGTTAATTGATTTTTTCTTTTTCTTGGACTTATATTTAAAAATGATTAATTTTATTACGTTAATCAATTGATTACATTGACTTGGCAAGATTAGCATTTACTTTTTTTTAATTCCATTTCTAATTGAGGAATATAAGAAATGTCATTGATTTTGCGGAATGATTCGAGACGTGTGGATCATTACGCGATTACAGAGGTAACAAAGAAATTCTTTGTAAAACAATTAATTTTTTGGATAGATATGACGATATTATGTGGACCGCAAAGACAAATGCTAAGAAATAACATTTTTACCCCATTAACCTACTCACGAATAAGTACTTGCTTACTAGTCTATCGACAAGAAAATTTACCACAATATTTAACGTTGAGTTATTAATATCGCAAAGTATACTTGACACGAAAATATTAACTTTGCATATATACTGATAATAATCTTTTTTTTTAATAATGAATTTTTATATGACTAAAGATTAATATTTATTAGTTCAAAATTGCTTTGAGGGTTTATAGTTTAAGCGCGCGATCTTGAAGCTATTAAAAGAGATCCAAATTCTGGCATATTCTTTAACGAGGTAGCCGCACACATTTTCCCGATTGTCGTTTCTCCGACGGGACATTTATTTGACATCATGATGAGAGTAAATGGTTTATCGAGTAAATGACCATCGGTAATCTTTAGCGAACTGATTATTTCTCAACCTGTAAATTATTACTCTAGAAAATTTAAAAAAAAAGATTTACAGCAAAAAATTTTTATTCATTGTGATATTTGCTTCCTAATAATTAATTAAGTAGCTGCGCGACATTGTCACATTAAGAAACGAAATGCTTTATTTATGATGAGCGAATAAGTTTGATTATAATATATATATATATTTTTTTTATTCAGTGTTTTATAAATTTTAGCTATAATTGTAGTATTGTATAAGTCAATTTAATAAACTATCTTGTTAACAGTCATTTTATTGATAAGGTGGGGTTGGTCTAATATATTGTTAGGCTAAAAGTAAATTGTTTATAAAACTTTAGCTATAAAGTACACATGTAAAATTTTTAATACGTATAAAATCAAATGATTGATGCACCCTAATAATAAAAACAGAGATCCACTATTTCCATTATGGTAATTTGCTATTTCTACTATGGATTTATAAAATTCGCCTATCTCTAACCTAATTCTGGTCATAATCTACATTCCATGATGGAAATAGCAAAATAACATGGTGGAAATAATAGATCTGTTAAAAAAATTGTCAGTTTAATTTTTAATTATTATTTTGCAAATTTTCTAATATTTAAAGATTTTTTTTATAAAATTTTAATAATAGTTAAAAATAAAATAAAATATAGAATTTCAAAGTTAGTTAATTTTTTTATAAATTTTTATTATTTGTTTAGTTTCTAAATAAATTTATTATTTAGCAGAAGTTACATAGTTGTCAAATAATAAAATTGTTATTAGGCAGACTATTATCATAAGTTATTAAATAAATCCGCTATCAGTTATGCAGAGGTTTTATAAGTTAATTATTGACCAAATGATTTAAAATTAGTCTAAATTGAATTCCTTTAGAATTTAATTTCTTAGTCTAATTTTAAATCTTTGATTTAATAAACTAATTATTAGATAGTACCTACTTAATTACTATTAAATATTATTTATTTAAAACAAAAATATAGTATTTATTAAAAACTTTTTTTTCTAGATTAATAAAATGACAAGATAAATGAAAAATTTTTTTTTTATTAAAAATTTAATTTTATATAACAAAATTAATATATAATAAAATAAATCTTAAGCATTTATGCTAGTATTTTATTAAAATTTTTAAAACTATATACAAATACAATTACATAGAACTTTTCAATACTTAAGTTTAGCATTACTTGGCCATCTTAATAGTACATAAGTGCAACTTGTTATATTATTTCAATTAGAGATAAACTGCTCATCTAACTACTTAAAACTATACTAGAAGAGTTTTTTCTCTTTTATAACAAGAATATTAATTGTCTTTCAAGTTTTTTTTTCATTTAGCTTATTTTTTCTATTTTTTTTCCTTCTCTTTTTTTTTTACTTATTTATCTTGCTTCTTTTTTTTGACTTTATTCTTGTATAATATCTTTCTTTATTTTATTTATTATATTAGTTTTTTATTATTATTCTTACATTATTTTACATCAAATTCTTTATACTTAGTCATAAAAGATGTTTTATACTATTTTTATTACTATGTTTATACATTTCTGTATTATCTGTTTGTTTAAAAGTTATTTAAATTTCTTTTTTATTTTTATCATAGCAAGTTTCTTTATTAATACTTTTTTGTTTATAATTTCTTCTAGTTCTATTTCTTCAAATAATATTTTATAAAGAACTTGTAATAGGATTCTATTTTTTTTTCTTTCTTTAAACCTATTTCATACTGTTGTTGTTATAATTTTTTGGATTTATTTCTACAAGCTTTTTGTTTTTTACAGTTTATCAAATATGTTTGAAGTTTTTTTCTTTATTTGGCAGATTTAACACTCTGTTATTATATATACTTCTGGTTTACTTCTATTAAGTTCTTCTAGTATTAGTAGGCTATTCATTATATACTTAATTACTATAGCTTTTTTGTATTAAGTTTTCTTAATATATAATAAACTTCACTTGTTCTATTTATTTTTTTCAAAAACTTAACTAGTTATATAATATATTTTTTATCTCTAATTCAAGTATTCTAATTGAGTTTATTTCTCTTTAATTGGTTCTGATTTTGGCATTTACAATTATTTTACAAAACAGTCTTGTTAATATATTAATTTTTTTACTTTTTAATTCTAAATAATATTTTATTTTATTATATTTAATTTTCTTTATATAGATTATATTTCTACAAGTAGCTCTTTTTTTTACAAAAAAATCTGCTTTGTTATTCTACTTATTTTTACTGTAACTTCTAACTTTAATTATTTTTATTTTAATATTCTTACACTTAATTAAGACTACAATGCTTATTATTTACATCATAATTTCTTTTTCAGAATTTTTTCTTTTCTTATATCTTGAATTATTCTATTAATATTTCTTAATACAACAATACTTTCTGTAAATACTTCTATATTTTTTATTTTTGGTACTGTTAGAATTACTGTTTATATTGTTATAAGTTTTGCTATTGTTATTAAAAGTCATCTTTTAAGTTTTAATGTAGTTTTTTTTTTGACTAATCTTTTTTTTTTTACTTATACCTAACCAATACCTATTTTTTCTGTACTGTTTTCTTTTTTATTCTTGTATAGTGCTTTGTTTATATAGAAAATATACTTAGTTTTGTTTTTTTCTTTGTTACTTATTAGAATTTTGTTAAGTAGTCTATAATTACACTATTTAATTTTTATTTTTTAATTAATTTTATTTTTAGTTTTTTTGTTTATTTTAATTTTACTAATTTTTTATTCTTTTTTTTTTATTCTTTTATTGTTCTGTTCTTTAATATTTGTTCTAATATTATATTAATTTTATTATTACTTTTTTCTACTAATATCTTTGTAATTACTTTTATAATATAATATTATCTTATTTATTTTTTACTCTTATTTGTCTGTTTTGATCTGTTTTTATAATCTTTGCATTTATTTATTTTTGTAATTGTTTTTTTTCTTTGTATATTAGTTAATGTTATGTTAATATTTTTTTCTTTTTCTGTTGAATTACTAGTTGTATTTTAATCCAAATATAATTTATCTTTTTTTTAGTTTTCTAATATTTTTATTTATTTGTTTTTTAAGAATAAGGGGCAATATTTTAAAATTATATATAAACCTAATAATAAATTTTTTTTATATTTAATTTTATGAAAAATTATATTAAATAAACTAATTTTAATTATTAAATAAAAGTTGTAAAGTAGGTCTTTCTAAGTATAATGATAGTAAATTTATTAAAATAAATTAAAAACTCATTAAGATATAAATTTTTTAAAAATTAGAATATAAAATTATAAAATAAAATTAATTAATAGGTTTATATAAATTAACCAATCAAATTTATCATTTTTGTACTACTTAAAAAAATTTTAACTCATCTAAGTAAACTTTATTATATATACAAGTATAAATATATAAAATAATTTACATGCTCTCTATCCTTAATACCATATATATTATAACTATTTATCTTATAATGGTTATATTTTTTTTTTGGTGTTAAGGTGAGGCCTTGCTCATATCTTTATTAGTAATTTTAGTTGTACATATTAATATA